AACATCTCTAATAAAAGTTTTACGCTCGAAAAGTTATTATGAAGTTAAGATTGAGCTATAAATTCCAAATTTACACACACTTTTAAGCTATTCTCTATTTTACAAACCGGTTCGTAATTGCATCATATATTTCTTATTACACGAACTTTGTTACAAAATGCTTTGCTACAAATAATTATAGCTTCGATAATTTAATCCTTTTAGTTTCAAATCTTTATTTAAATAAAAAATCTAATTTTTTTGCACATCATTTTAATATTATGTATATTTGTGAATATTTTAAAATAACTTTTAAAATAATTGTATTTGAAAAACTTTTTAAAATCATTTTATTAAAATATTCATTAATAATTTTACACTATATATGTCAAATGGTTTTAAAGACATACAAAATAAATCATCATTGTATTTGTATTAAAGATGTGTCATCATGTATATTGTTAGGTTAATTTTTTCTTCGTCTTATTTTCTTGTCACGCTCTAGTTTGATAATTATCAGCTTTTGGATAAGGTTCACGAGGGGAAACAGAAGCAGGGTCGAATGAAATTGGCGACAAATGAATAAATTAAATGGTAGTCCGCACTATAGTGGGGGTCCAAAAGAATTTCTATTGAAGCCGATACTCACCCTCTTGATCGCCGCCCAAATGACTTGCGACTCACCCTTATTACGACCTGAAATTTATCACGGAAATTTCGTGGAGTATTTTATCTGGATAATTGCTCCGCTTTATAAGAGCCACCCTTACAAGCCAATATATAAGACAAAGACGATCAAGTAAAACTTTTATTTACTTCAGCGTATTTGATTTGATATACAGATAGATTAAACATTTGATCAAACAAATCAGACTTAAAATTTATTTTAGTTTCTTATTTTACATTTTGATTTTTATAAAGAAATTAAAATTTTTTACTTAAAGCACTTATTTTAATATTTTATATAAATTATTAACCACAACCTAATTTAAAAACATATATGAGAATGTAAAAATTATATTTATATTTTATACATAGATAATTTCATCAATTTTACGATTTCAGAAATATTAAAAATTGTTAAAGAATCCAATTAAATACGATATAAACAATGTAAATTTAATGTATTTTGTACACGTCAACAATTTCGTAAATGAAATTGTACATTCAAAAATGTGATTTGTTCAGTCATGATAATTGGAATTGACTTCCATGAAGTCCTCACATTGTCCATATCAATCATTAAGTGACTCGATAAATCTATCAACTGCGGAAACTAATACTATTCACGATACCATTCACGATGACTGACCGCTGATCGCGGCCACAGAGAAAATCATTAACTAACTAAATATCAATTTTGACGGTAAATAGTAACCGCGGTATCTATTGTTCCCAAATTGAATCAGTATCGAGAATGATGTACAGCTTAGCTGTACGATCCCTGCCGCATAGGCGCGGACGCGTGTGTAAAATTTGCGAACGCATAATGCCATACGCATCCCCCTTATATCCTTCTAGCCTGAACAGTCCAGGAACGTAGGTATTGCGATCGACACATACAAAGCAATCTCTCCCTTCCTGGACTCTACAGCATTCTGTTGCCTTACAACCGACGCTACCATCCTCCCCTGTTCCTCTTCACCGCCTTGGTTACCCTTGCCGCCTCCTCCTCATCCTCTTCCTCTGGCTTTCATTCCACATGCGATATTAAAGCCAAGGCAATTAGCGGTGGGGGTTGTTGCGAGAGACGGCGAGGGAGTGCGACAGTTTCAGCCGGGTTTCGTAGTCATCCGCCTGGTGGGGCTGTCTCGGATATGATTGGCTGTCAGCGGAGGTTAATCCCTGGGTCCGGCCACACCCCGGCATGTCTCAATCCACCCCCGTGAAATCCGGCCGATCGAGCTTTCCGCCCGGAATCCACTGAAAACGAGGGTGAAAACGCGAGCGTCAAGGATATACCGGATATACCGGATGTTTCCAGAGAGCGCGGGATGGGTCGAGCTCCTTAAGGGTGAAGGAGATAATTTCGGGCAGATGATAGCGTCAGAAAGATCAGGTAAGAAAGGCAGTAAACGTATGCTTGTTTTTAATGATGTCGTATTTAATGTTTCATTACGTAGACAAAAATTATGCGCTCTTTTACAAAAAACTACATAAGAGAATAATGAAAAATTTGTTTATTCCAAAACATCCGGAAATAGGTATATTAATAATTAGAAAATGTAAATAGGTATAAATAAATTAATAATTTGTAAATTATTTGACTAACTAATTATTAAAACTCTCAACTACTATGTATAATATAAAGTACAAAAATTACTAGAAACAAAGTTTTAATTAAAACAAAGTAATTATTGACTCAAGTAAACACATGATCCTTTTAGTGGTAGAAAATAATTCTTACTTAAATATTGAAAAACAACATAAAATTTACAATAATTTAAACTTTACAAATTCAAGTTCCTATTAATTATACAATTAACATTATGTAGAAAAGTATATTAATTAAGTTCTCAATTGTGAATAATTCTCAATCTTAATTTATTCTTTGTTATTACTTTGTTATTATTATTTTATTATTAATTATTATTGTTATTATTAATTATTTCATAGTAGTTGTTTTTACCTAAGTAATAACGATACAAACAGCCGTAATGTAATTTAGATAAAAATTAAGCAAAGTTTTAAACTTTCTTCAACTAAAAGGATTGTAATAAAAATTCTGTACCAGACAAAACAGGAAAAAAAGAAGATATAAACGCTTGATGTGAGGAATTAAAAAAGGCGGTAG